CCTTCCCATCTCTTAGAATTCTTCATAGTCCCATTTATTACCTATTTTGACAGATACTCTTTCCTCTATAATTAGGCTTTCTGGCTCAGTAGATGCATTATTAAGCCATAGGGCCAGTAAAAACAGTGGCCTTAATAATAGTCTCCTTAGATGATACTAAAGGATTTGCTTTATAAAGACTCACAGGACATGTGGCTTTGTGTTTACAGAAAGGTCTTAAATTACTGACTTGGGAGGAAGGTATGCATTTACTTATAAATGTTTTTAAGAAAATATAATGCAGATGCATTTGAGCAGATTTTAATACCACTGCCTTCCACAAGCCTTGTTACCTATTGGTGTAATGTGAAAAATGAAATTAAAATGGAAAACATGCTTTGGCTAATGGTATTGACATGCTGTGTTTTGTTCAGTGATAAGAGTAGCCTATGTTTCTAATGCAAAGTTAACCTCAGGACTAGATCTCCATGTTTTAGTTCAGAGTCCTATTGATATGATATGACACCAGGATGAAAAGCAACTTGGGGAGGAAAAGGTTCATTTCATTTCACAGCTTGTAGTTCATCATCCTAGGAATTCAGTGCAGAAACTCCAAGCAGGGACCTGGATGCAAAAACATAGGCAGAGGGCTTGGAGGAGTACTACTTACTAACTTGCTCCCATGACTTGCTCAGCCTGCTTTCTTAAACAACTCAAGAACACTGACCCTGGGGTGCCACCACCCACAGTGAGCTGGGCCCTTTCCTCTCAGTCATTAATTATGACTGAATTGCCTAGAGCCCAATCCTGTGAAGCATTTCTTCAATTAAGACTCCCTCTTCCCAGAGGAGGTGCATAAGTGATTGTGTAAGAGACACTTGTGAAATGGGAAAGATACGTAAGTGTGCTTGCATTCTCCCTCATCTTCATTCTCACCTCCCAGTATCAGAGCCCTTCCCAGTACTTGGCCCAGTAGGGTCTTAGCTGATTCATCTAACTAATCCTTAAAGGAACTTGGTTTTTCTCATGATCAATTAGTTACTTTAATTTAATGGATAAAGACTTTTTATGTAGACACAAAGCTAAGGTCTTAAATTGCTGAATTAGGAGGAAGATATGCATACACCTATACATGCTTTCAAGAATATATACTGATACTTTGCATATGTGTCTTTCAGCAAGTAGAAAAACTTCCGGTGATAGGCCAAACTGCTCTTGTGCTTTCTCTCTGGCTGGGATCTCCCCAGTCCTTATTAACATCAAAATGTATTCTGATAAAAGCAGTCCAGATAAGGACTTCCCCTCTAGTAAGTATTGTCAGTAATTTTTAGAATTAATTTTTTCCACAAGTTTGCAATTAACACATTTACAAGAGATTATATGAGTTCTAAGGAGTTTATTACAGTTAATAGAAAGACTGAAAGGTGTAAAACAACAGAGAAGTGGCCTCATTTCTCACCAGTAATTTGATTTTTTAATAATGGTACCTATTTTGTGTCCTTCAAAATCAGAATCATTTTATTAAAGAAGAAAAGAAATATAGGTAGAATACAGAATTAGTATAGTTCTAATACAGTCCAAAATTTGATTTCAAATATAGTGAAGAACTGATGCATGAGATACACATGTAGACATATAAACAAGTAAGCAAGAAACCAGGGCTTCTTGAGAACAGGATGCTCTGTGTATATGACTGAGGATATACCAGATGATTACATGTGTTCAGAGCAGCATTGCTGTAATAGTGGCAAACTGGAAACTACGAGTACAGTATCAACTACTAGGAGAGTTAAATTATATTATTATAATGGAATATCATCTTGGAGTGGTGACATTGCTGGACACAATACTACTGTCTCCAAAGTGTGGATGACTCCCATAAACAACATTTTGAGCCAAAGAAGTCACAAATACAGTGGACAATACAGCATGCTTCCATTTATAAAACATTACAAATCTAGTATGAGGGTATGACTCAGGATACTAGCCTATCATGTATGAGACCCTAGGTTCTCTCCTTTTCTTAAAAAAGTTTAAAAATTAAAAGGGACCTAGACCCCCTGCTCAGATATAGCTGATAGGCAACTCAGTCTCCATGTAGGTTCCCAAGTAAGGGGAGCAGAGCTGCCTCTGCCATGAACTCAGTTGCCTGCTCGTTGATCACTTCCCCCTGGCAATGTAGCTTTGCCAGGCCATAGAGGAAGAGGATCCAGGCAGTCCTGATGAGATTTGATAAGCTATGGACAGATGGCAGGGAAGGCGAACTCCCCTTTCAGTGTATTATGGTAATAGGATAGGAAGAAAGAGGGAAGGAGGGTGGGACTGGGAGGAGAAGAGGGAGGGGGCTACAATTGGGATATAAAATAATCCAAGGGAGAATCCATAAGTCTGACTTGGAAGGGCAGATAGAATAGACAGAGGTAGTGGTTGAAGAGAGGGAATAAGGTAGGAGAGGGCACAGAGAGTTAAGAGGGTGGAGAATAGACCTTGGGAGACAGAGGGCAAGAAGGCCTGCAGAAAAAAGAAAAACAGAGGGTGGGGCATCTCAGTGACAGGCTGGAGACCTAGGTCAGGGTAGGTCTCTGGGAGGATATGAGGGGGATTCAAGCAGTGACTCCTAATAGCAGGGCCATAGAGACTGAAGAGGACTCCTAACTAGATTTGCCTTCTAGTAGAGGGAGAGGAACTCCAACCCACCCACAAAAACTTCAACTCCAAATTTACCCTGCCTACAAGATGAGCAGGGATAAAGAGAGAGCAGACAGAGCAGATATTAAGTAAATGCCCAACCAATGCCTGGCCCAACCAGAGACCCACACTATGAGAGAGTGCCAACCCCTGACAGTATGAATGATACTCAGCTAAGTTTTGCAGACAGGAGCCTAACAGAGTTGTTCTCTAAGAGAACAACTATCCAGCAGTGCCTCAAAACAGATGCTGAGACTCACAGCCAAACATTGGGTGATGCATAGGGAGTCTTGTGGAAAAGTGGGAGGAAAGAGCAAAGGATCTAGAGGTGAAAAGAGGTCCACAAGAAGACCAACAGAGCTAACTAACCAGGGCCCAGAGGGGTTTGCTGAGACTGAAGCATCAATCAAGGACCATGCATGAACTGAACCTACGCTCCCTATAAAGATGTAGCAGATGGGCAGCTTAGGCTTCATGTGGGGACTATATTAGATACAGACTCCCTGGCAGGACTGCTTTGCCAGGCCACAGGGGAAGAGGACACATTCAGTCTTGAAGGGGGATGGGGCTGGGAAAGGGAGCTCCCCTTTTCTGAGGAAGAGGTGAGGGGGCAAAGGGGAGGGAGTGTGAGACCTGGAGGAGAGAAGGAATGGGGCAACAACTAGGTTGTAAAGCGAATACAAAATAAATTAATCAAAAGAAGAAAAACCAACCAAACAAACATGTATGATGTACCAAGAATGTTTGCATTCAATCTCATTGACATACAGTTATAAACAAGTATTTCTAAAAAGCTAGATTTTTAAAAATTCATTGCGAAACAGTTGTTTAAATGATACTAGAAAGAAAATCCTTTATGCAAGATGTTGTTAATAATAAAACTTTAAGTTCACTGGTATGTATCAGATACTATTTCAGGCAGCAAAGCTGAAGAGACAGAACCATTGAGCCTTTATTACTAGCCAAGGAATGACGGGAGTTGTTTCAATCTTGCTTTGGGCCAGGCTTTCCTGACTGCACCCTTTTGGGATGGTAAAATGTCTCCATTGTCATTTCATGCTGGATGTATAAAATTTGCTCTTCTTATGTTTATCAGTGGTTATAATTAAAGGATTACTGGGAGTCTTGAGGGACTTTGGACTTTTAAACAGTGTTGAGCCAGAAAAACTATGGGGAATTTTGAAGATGACTAAACACATTTTGTATTATGAAGTGGCCACATCCCTTGGGGACCAGGAAGTGGCGGTTTGAATGAGAAATATCCCTCATAAGATCACGTATTTAAATATTTGCCCCCGCCCCCGCCCCAATGGAGGTGCTGCTTGGGTTGGGGGATATACCATAGACCCTTCCAGAGATGAGTCCTTGCTGGTGAAAGCCTGGTTTGGGGGTGGGTTGTGCTTTGATGGCTATAGCAATTCCTCACTTCCCCTTTGTTCTGTTTCTTGACATGATCTCTCAGTTCCTGGCTCCTGCTGACATGCCTGCCATTTGCTGCCATGCTTTCCCTCCATTATGAACTCTTATCAATTTGTACTGTTTCTTCCATAGGTTGCTTTTCATCATTGGGTTTACTGCAGCAATAGAAGAGTAGTAAATATAGACAACCAGATTATACAAGATACTTATTGGTAACATATTTTACATGTCCATGTAGCACTGAGATTTTCTATCATGAAACCATTCTGCAGAAGATGGATTTATCTTTTACCATAAAAATTTTATTTGCTAAGTTTTTTTCAGACTATTTTAATGGATGATAGTGGCTTAGAAACCTATACTGTATCATATAGATGCTTCTATATACTTAAAGGAACTGTGAACTCTCGGTAAAGTTTCCTTCAATAGTGTTTGGTAGAATAAATGTCACACATGCACACCTAAAGGTAGTTAACAGAAATCACATGCTATAAATGTTAACTTTTGTTACTTAGACATAAATGGCAAATAATTAATTTGGCTGTATTCTTTATTCAAAGGCTTAAAACCATTAACTGAACACCTCTATTTCCCCCCTCAGAAGCACATACTAAATGAAGACACACAATAATTCCTATATTTTCTGTTTAAAGTAACCTAATTTCAAATTAGACAGGAACTTAGAAAACCATATCAATTTTAATCATCAAGCAAATACTTGAGATGCTCACTATTACTCTCTTTGGCAAAGATGCAAACAGCTATTTTGAAATTCTCTCTCCATCTCTAACACAGAGTGTTTACTTCATTTGTGACTCCACATGTTTATATACGAACACTAACCCTTATTCTGTGTATATTAGTAGCCTGTGATTACCTATGGGGTAGTAGACAATTTTTGGAAATTTACATACCCAAAGCTGCTACTTTGATGATAATGGCCTCAATGTTAGATGCTATCATCTCTCTGAGCAAATCTTCCTGGTTTCTCTGCCAAAGGTAAGCTAAAGGCTGGAGATTAAGCCGTTTACATCTACAAAGTAAAAAGAAGAACAAAAAAAAAAAAAAAACACAAAAAAAAAGAAAGAAAGAAAAAATAAATAAATGATATGGTTGTGTTCAGTTTCAGGGTCCCCAGCAACTTAATTTTAAACATAATGCTTCTTTCAAGGGTTTTAACATTTAAAATGTCCTCCTCCTCCTTTTTTTTTTTTTTTTTTCTAAATGCCATGTGGTGCCAGAGAGATATTGATAGGATAAAGGCATTGGAGTTGCTGTTCGAGTTCAATTCTGGAAAACCTGTGGTGGAAGGAGAGAAACAACCCCCATAAGTTGTCCTTTGAACTCCATATATGTGCCATGGGATGCACACGTTCTCACACACACACACACACACACAAAGAAAAACAAAAATGTGAAAATGCCTTGCATTCTTAATTTTTATGGTCTATGGGCAAACATAAGTTAAATCTCGAGGAATATTAAAAATATCAATGTTCGTAAGGCTTGAAGCTTAGAAATCAATGTCAAAGTGCATACCAATGCCAGTTAAGAATTATTCCCATTTTTAATAATTCTACAGGTTGGCAAATCGGGAAAGACATAGTGTGTAGACAGAAATGTGATGCTCTCATACTTTACAAGCCTATCAGAATCCCATAAACTAGTGCAGAGGTGAGAGGAGACAAGAGTCTTAACTGCTTTGAGACAGTTTGGCAGGTTTTAGAACAACTGGTTTGCTGATGAAAATGAAAATATTACTTACTTATATATTGCACTTACATTTGAATTTTAAGAATGACTTGGCTTGCCCATGGATGCAGGCACTGAGACGTTGCTCCAGTGTATGAGCACAGACCCACGGGCATGCAGAGAGCACTATTTAGACTCAAACAGAGAACACTATTCACACTCAGTGCTCCTGAAGAGTAGAGGAGGAAGGGCGGCAGGATGAGGACATGAAGTCCTATCGGGGACTTGCCGAGTTCAGAAGAGAGGAGGCAAGGGGAGACAGTGGGATCATGATAATATCTAGTTGTGTACTCATATGAGTTTCTCAAAGAAAAAAAAATACGGCTTTTGTTAATTTGATGTATGTTTAGATCTATAGATCATGAATAACATATCTGCTTATGATTTAGGTACAATTATTTATTTTTATTCATAAACAATGCTTTTTACTTTACAAGGAATCTGGGATTATAATTCTAGCCTTGCACATTCTCAGCACAAACTCTAAAAATTATTAGACAAATTGATGTTCTCTTACACATTTTCTACTCGCACACGTTGATAATCAGAAAGTATAGCACCTACTGATACCCCTTCTATTTCTTCTTTTTCCTGAAAATAAAAGAAAAAAAATAAATTGAAGGATAATCTTGCAGTTTGTATCCCACGCTGAAAATTACACATGAACTGCATATCATCTAAGGAGTCACCATTGAATCAAAATAATTTTCTGCAAATACACATTTAGAAAAATAATCCGCACATATATTTTAATCATCTACCCAGTGGCAAGAGAAGTAATCATTCTTTTACTTAAATTTTAACTACAGACCTACTTTCCTGGAAACAGACGTAGAAGCAGTTCCAAAATGTTTTTTTTACATTTATATATTTAAAAACACTGACATTCAATAGACACTCCTATGAAAAGTCCTTCAGGGACAATATTTCCCCAGATTGAATAATTTCAATAATTTTCACATTAGTACCAACAGATATACCACACATGGCTTTAATCTGGATTTTTGGTAAAAAGATGAGCAGCACAGAGGTATTGCCTAGTATTCCATATAGAGAATTATAGCACAGGCAGAAGGAACCACATCAGTATAGTCACAGCTGAGGACACCAGCAGGGGCCCATGGGTTAAAGACTTTGCCCAGTACATTCATAAAGGAAATGAAGGAGAATGTAAATTCACATATGATCTTGTTTGCGGATGGCCCAAAGGTAGGATGGATCAAAAGGTAAAGGTAAACCAAGTATAAAGACAATTTAGGAATTTAAAAGAACAGGTCTAAAATATGTAAATAAGATTAATGTTCTTAACCAAGGGAGGAACAATATACACCATAGATATGAACCAGGGAATGTCATCTGTAATACAGATATAAAGGGAGTTACTAGGGATAATTACTAATAATATCCTGGGCAGAAAGTCTCTGAATACATTTAAGAGAAAATCCATCTCTGTATAAGACTGACAGAAGAAATCACTTCAGAGAGATGTCCTCATTGGTAATACATCGGTAATATTGTCAAGTAGTGCAACTTGACAATAGCAGTAATAAGTATTTCACAGTAAATAAATCATGCTTCTAGGCACACTGAAATAAACCTGACATGCTGAAATAACAATGTGTCCAAAAAGATACCATAGTAAATAAACAAAGAAATACAAAACAGGAATTTATTCTGCCTTTGGAAATAATGGAAATTTAAAACATACCCATAAAAATAATACAAAAAAATCTTCCCAAACTGCCCCCCCCCAAATGATTATTTCTGTCAGATAACATTGCAGGAAAAGGGCTATTTTCTTTATTTTATTCTATCAGCAACTTTGTGAGGACACAGGGTTTTAACTTTTCTTTAATCTTCCTCAACATTTTCTCCTCCAACCCCTGCACAGATTTCATAATCTGTTGGAGGTGATTTCCTGTATTCTATTACCTTCTTCCCCTCCCGACCTCTTAAGGCCTTTCCCCCTTTTCATCCTTTCCTTCCTAGCCCTGGCAGCTTAGTAACCAAGTGGATTCCCTAGTAAGGGGAACTGGGACTGTCTCTGACATGAATTCAGTGGCTGGCTCTTTGATCACCTCCCCTGGGGGGAGCAGCCTTACCAAGCCAGAGAAAGATGATCATAAACCCTGTATTCCAGGTCATTGTGAAGGTTAGCACTTTGTGACACCAAGTAAAACCTTCCTTCATCATCACAATTGTTATCAATGTTACTACTTCAAAGTTACTTGAGCTACTATTTTTGTCTATCAAGAACAACTCTTCTTCCTCCTCTTCTCCCCAACTACCTCAAAAGTCTCACCTCTTTCTTGATTTGACTGAAATAATTCAGTTTCCTGGGCTTAAGCACTACTGCTCACTGTCATTTCTCAACAGTGTTCTATAATCCTGTATACTCAACTCTAGGCCAGTTTTAACACAATTTTACAACAGTCCTGAAAATTTGAGAAGTAGTTACAAGTTCTTCTATATCCTTATGCATTCTGAATGTAACTTTAAACTAGGCAAAAGAGACCCTAAAGGATCAAATCTACCCCTGACTGTTATCTGAAGAAAACATTAACTGGGCTCAGTCACTAACCCTTGTCTGCTCTTATCTGGGGAATAAAAAGCCAATAATTCAACAATGAGACACAATCATGGGCTTCTCCTTCATTTAAAACTGATTGCTGACATGCCTAGTTTTATGCAGGCCTGTTGCTGACAGCTACCTATAATTGCTGTGAGATCATGATTGCACTACTATACCATGCCCAAAGACAGCATTTCATATGCACCCCTCAATTTCTGACTCTTACATTCTTCCTGCCCCCTCTACCATGTTGTTCTTTTTGCATTACATATCTTGGATCTCTTCTGCCATGTGTTTTTAACTGGGTAAGCAGGACTGGGAATAGAGTTCTTTTTACAAAGCAGACCTCAAAACCAATCAAAGAGCTCTTATTCGCTCTTCTAACACACATTCTGCCGTTACATCAGTGAGCACATCTTGCCTAGTGGGGTTAGTGCTGTAGTCCAGAGGGTTTTCATCTGTGCAAGACTATTTGTTCTGATGCCAATCCTTGTGACCTCACCAGCCAGCACTGCATTACTGGTCCACCCAACTCATCCCAATGGGAGTACTCAAGGCCTACTCTGACTTTTTCATCTGCTCTTTCCTTTGTTACTACTTTCTATCCTGCCCATTTTCTTTTTCATACTACCTGAAATTAAACACCAACTATTTATGGATTTACCCCTCACATATTTGTTTGCAGTTCTTTGAAAAAAGGTATCACTGTGGCTTTTACCCAAGAAAAGCCTACATAAATGTGAATCAGTAGATGACTATAATTTAATAAAATTGACCATGAAAAAATAGTGTTTCTATACTTCTACAACCACCTAAACCAAAAACTAAAAAAGATAATATTATGTAACACATATGATAGCATATTGTTTTAAGTCAGTGAAACATAGGTTAACAAACCAGTAGGGAAAAATGACAAAATTATAACAATATGAAATTTTAAGAGAATACATACAAATGATGCCAAGACTTCTTAAAAATAAAAGTTGAAACTAAACAAATTTTATAAAATAAATACTTACGTTTTACAATATAATGAACATTCAGAGCTGATAAGGGTATGGCAACTGCATAACTTCCAAATTACCAAGACAGAATAAGAGGGGTGTGTGTGTGTGTGTGTGTGTGTGTGTGTGTATGTGTGTGTGTGTGTATGTGTGTGTATTTTGAGTAATTTCCCAATTGATTAAGAAAACAATAATGTGATGTTTGAGGAAGTATGCAATAAAACAGCAAAAATGAAATGGTGATATTGGGAAATAATTATTATTACCTTATGATGTATTTTTGTTTCTTTTTCTGTGGCTATAGATTTCTATGTTTTTGATTCTATGTATATTTCATTTAGCTAGGTTTTTATCATAAATAGTTTTATATCTTTATATCTTTGGAAAATACATTTTAATGACTATTGATTTTTCTCTTCATAGTATACTATGATTCATTCAACTATTCCTGTTATTTCGGATTTTAGGATTTTCTAGCCTTTGTTCAAATTATATGTACAATATAAATTTAATGAATATCCTCATATAACTTGTGTACAGCTACTTTCACAGAAAATATTTCTTTTCATTTTTGTCTCAAATAATATTTATTTATCATTTATTTATTTTATTCATTTTACATCCTTGTAGTACCTTCCTTCCTCCCCTACCAGTCCTATCCTCTCTCCCTATCCCCTCCCCCTGCCCTTTTCTATAGAAAAGAGGAGCTCCCTTTCCCATCCAGCCCAGCTCATCAAGTTGCATCAGGGGTTGAACTTGTCCTCTTCGTCTATGGCCTGTCAAGGCAGTCCTGCCAGGAGAAAGTGATATAAAGCTGGCACTGTCTGGTGTAGTGCCCACTTCCCTTACTACAGTACCCACTTGAAGCCTAAGCTACCATCTGCTACATATCTGTAGAGGGCCTAGGTCCAGTTCAGGCATGGTCCTTGTTTGATGCTTTAGTCTTAGCAAGCCCCTCTGGGCCCTGGTTAGTTGGCTTTGTTGTTTTTCCTGTGAAGCTCCTGAAACTTCCAGGTCCTTTTCTCCTTCCTCCCACTATCCCCAAGACTCCCTAACCATCTATGTCCTGGTAACTTGGGAGGTAAAATTATTCACTTGTTTACCAAAAACCAATTTTAAATGTCTGAGTGTGCCTTATACTATATTAAGACTAGAGAAACATTTAAACATATCACAGGGTATCATTGGGAAATTAAAATTTTGTGGTAATGAATACAGGGGTTATCCTAGATTGTGTGACATGTCTATGTAGAGCCTAAAGGACTACAAATAAGGGCTATCTTGACAGACAGTAACATCATGAACTACTTATTCATCTAATTTCGGTTTCTTGAGGCAAAGGCTCATGTATCTCATGATGCCCTCAAGCTCCTCCTGATCTTCCATCTCCAAGATGCTGGCATTATAGGCATGTACCATCTTATCTAACTCAGGGATATTTACTTTTAAAGATAAAAATTGTACTGCAAATACAAAGCATTCAGAATTGTCAACTGCTATCCTGTATCTTCCTTAACATGATTATATATATATATATATACACACACTTCCCAAAGACCTTTTTTTTTTTTAAAAAAAAATCTGGCTGTAAAAGTATAAATAACTTATCTGCTACCAAATCTGAACATATCTAATTGTCAGGCTTCATTTAGTAGCTGCTGCCAAGCCTTCTATATTAAGCAAATTATGGACTCTTAAAATAGCACTGGAGCTATTTTAAGCTTGGAGAGAAGTATAAACATAGATCTGTTCATTCAGGGTTATAACCTAGTCCTCAAGAATTGTTAAATATTGTTTAAAAGGGTATATGAAGAATATTTACATTCAAGGCTAGAAGTAGATTCTTCTGTGAATGGTAGCTAATGCTGTGTGTCCTTATCACATACAAAGCTCTAGACAGAGATGAAGGCAGGTGATCACACAGGAGTAGTGATAATCTTCAACTGAGAATAATACAGGTTTAAAAGTAGAAATCTAAAACCAAGTTAAGATTTTGTTCATTAATGTTCACTTGT